CAGATGAATACATTTAGACCACTTAACTTAATGATTGCTATTGGGATGTGAAGAGACTTTCAACCAGCATAACAAAAAATGTTTCTGAAGACAATCACCTATTACACCTTTAATGTTGTAATAAGCTTGATGTTTTGCTCTATCATGTAGTGTAGAAAAACAGTGTCTGAAAAGATTGACTGTTAGGAATAAGATTTCACCTGATAGTCTAATGCCAATGTTTACTGAAAAAGAAATGTTAGCTTGAACTGAAATTGTCCTGGGATTGGGATGGGATCATTTGGTGCCTCATGATTCATTTTGAATTTCGAGAGTCGTGAAACAATTACAAAATGATTCTTAAAGGAATAGTTCACCCAAAAAATAAAAGTTTGCTGAAAATTTACTCTCAGGCCATCCAAGACATAGATGAGTTTGTTTCTTCATAGGAACAGGTTTGGAGGAATTTAGCATTACATCACTTGCTCACCTCTGCAGTGAATGGGTGCCGTCAGAATGAGAGTCCAAACAGCTGATAAAAACATCACAATAATCCACAAGTAATCCACACGACTCCAGTCCAACAATTAACATATTATTAAGAGAAAAGCTGAATGTTTGTAAGAATCAAATCCATCATTAAGACATTTATAACTTCTTATGGTTGCTTTTGCCTAAAATGCAAGTCCTCTATCCATAATAATGCTTACTCCAGGGAAAAAGTTGTCTCATCAGAATCAAGAGGGACTTTTATTCTGACGTCACCCATTCACTGTAAGGGATCCATTGGTGAGCAAGTGATGAAAAATCTGTTTTCCCATGAAGAAACAAACTCATCTACATCTTGGGTGGCTTAAGAGTGAGTAAATGTTCAGCAAATCTTGATTTCTGGATGAACTATTCCATTAAAGCTTTAAGTTTTCAGCATCAGTGCTCCAGGAATATTCCATTTCCCGCTTTTGTTTACTCCATTGTTTCTCAGACTTCAGAGACTGTAGCATTTTAAAAGGAGTTATTTACAAAAGAGTCGTAAGTGCATTAAGTCATCACACAGGAGGAAATGACTTTGTGGCTGGCTGGAAACGAACAGGTGCTCTTTCAGGTTCATTTAGCGTCGCTTTCGAGCGAGGAAGTAAATTGCTGCGGGGAAAGTCCAGCATAATCCTGTTTTTTCTTTCTGTTTTTTTTTCTTGCAGCGATTTACATGCATTTGAACCCCGAATCAGCTTTTGTCTGGTCCGTTGTGTCATTTTCAGCGAGACTGAGTAAACATCTGCTGGAGAGCGGTGGGGGTAAAGCGGCCTAATTAGGATGAAGTCCTGTATTCCCAGCTGCTCACTATGTTTAGACAGACGACGTCTTGTGCGGGTAACCTCCTCTCCTGAATGCCCTCTCACAACACAACCTGTGAGGTGAATGCAACACAACAGTTGGCGTAATAAAACAATTAGCCCGTGCAGTTTGTAACTTTCTTAATTGCACTGCAAGCTTAAAGTGCTTCCAACGCACCCGTCACCTGCTAATTGTGAACCTATCACTCACTAGAATAAGAGATGGAGAAAACAAAATGCCGTTCTCTCTCTCCATCTTTGTCTCAGGCTCTCTCTCGTCGTCGTTTTCTGTCCTGATTAAATAAATGCTTTTTAATTAGTTTGGAAGTAATGCGTGTGTTCGCCATCCTTTGTCTTAATCTCCACTGGTGCCTTTGTGAAAAAACCTTCTGTGATGGAGACTCGTACAATCGAGTGTGCTGAAATATTTACCATCGTCGTTGGACGCCTGCCACAATGTGGAATTGCCTCAGCAGCCCTAAATGAAATTGTCCCTAATATGTTTCTGCTGATTAGAGCCTCTGCTTAGATGAAGAACGGGGCGTTTGCCAGCTAATACAAAAGGCTATCCTTGAGTGCTGTCCGTTTATCAATAGCTTTTTTTTCCTCTGAGAATTAGCCTTCGTGATGGGGGAAAATAGTAGAATGACTCGTAACTTGGGCAGTAAGTGTTGATGTTGGATGGTGGCTTATTCAAAACTCCTGTTTGGAGTAAATAGCAGATGCTGTCGTGGTCGGCCATATGGAGCTCGCTGCCTTGCAGCAGACTGAGAGCTGGGAATGGAAGCAGGTGGAAGGTACAGAGATTAAAGACCCGCTCAGGCTGCCTTACATCACTGTAAGTTGCGCTTCGGTAGCCGCGAATTAAATCTGCTCAATTTGACGTTTCTGTTCGTATTGAAGATGGATCATCAACTTGTGTGCAACGTTAGGGAAGGTTACTTGTAAATGTATGCGCAATGTGTTACTCCAAAAAAAGTAGGAAATTGCATTGCATTGGGCCTTATTCAAACAATAAACAAAATCAATTTCTTTGTACGTTGTTGTAAAAAAAATCTTACAACATTAAAATTTTGTGATGTTTTTTTTTTTTTTTTACTTGATTGTAATATTAATGCATTTTAATAAATAAAAATAATAATAATAATTAGTTACATGCATTTTATTTATTAATAATAATGTAAACACAAAGTTAAATAGCTTTACATTTATTTTATTTTATTTTTGTTTTACTTGATTGGAAAATACAATAAAAACTATTATAGGAGCCATTAAGATTGCTTTTGTTATTTTTTCTATATAAATAAACTCAATTCATAATATTATAAAATTAATATTAATAACATTAATATGTAATAAATAGTAAATACATAAAAAAATAAATATTTACTAACATTTGTTAAATATTGAATTTTACAAATTATTAAAATGTAATAATAATAATAATGTAAACAAAAACAATGAAATAGCATTTACAATATTTTTGTGAGCATTTTACTTGATTGGAATATATACATTTATAAAAATAAAACATACAAATATACAATTAAATAAATATTGTATAACATACAAATATATAAAAAACTCATATTATTTTAAATTGTACTGTTTATTTAACAAATGTATGTATTTTGAATTATTTGGAAAAACATTCATGAAAATGTATTATTCTTACAAATTTCTGTATGAATTGATATTATTGCATTCATTTGACATTCAATTCTGTAATGTGTTTTGTTGACGTTTTGTTCTGCTTGTGTTTCATGAATGAGGTCTGTTGTTAGTAAAGGTAATAGTTACTTTTGTGTTATTGCCAGTTTTCCAAGTCTCCATTTCTTGCTGAATAGAAGCTTACGACTGTTTTTTATTTACTTAACATATTTAAAGTGGTTATTTTTGTTGTTTAAAAGTTTGTCTTCCTGATATAGTTTGAATGCAAAAGCTAATACCCTGTATGAGTACAAAATGTAACACATTACCTCAAACATACCATTGACAGTACACTACAAAACAAAACAATCCCCTGTTGGAGAGCTTTTCTTTATTGATTTTCATTTCTCATGGTGACCCACTATATGTTCTATCGATCAAATTTCTTCATAACATCCAGCGATTATCTGGACATCAAAGTCAGACAGGAGATCATCTCTAGATTATCACCTGCCGTCTGTAATGTCGTGGCAGTATTTATTAGGGTGTTTGAGGTTACATTCCTCACTCAAGGGCAGAGCCGCAGTAAAGCTCAGCGGGGACTTGAACCAGCAGCAAATAGGGTTGCTGCTCCATTACCCTGCCCAGTGGACCAAGCGTGGTTTCATTCATCTCTGCATCAGAGGCAAATCCACCTGATCTCTTGTGTTTGGATCGTTTCATACTGCAGCTCCCGATAGGCGCTCACATGAAGATTTGGATGTAAAACGATGCAATTGTGTGTGTGTGTGTGTGTGTGTGTTGAGTAAATGTACTCTACAGGCGTATGTTTGAGCAGTCAGGTTAAATGAACTGCATTCAGAGATCACACCAACTATCTAGAATAAAACTTATGAAAATACATGAATGTTGAAAAACAAATTACATCAAAGGGGTTGGCTCAGTGTGTTTTGCAAGGTTATATTACCTTGAATTACCTTTTATAAACTCAAAATTAAATCACATTTACAATACATTTTGATGTGAGACTTTTAGAACTTGATATAGTTTTTAGTTGATTGGAATAGGAATGTAAATAAATAAATATTCACTAACAATTGTATGAATAAAATATAATAATAATAATAATAATAATAATAATAATAATAATAATAATAATAATAATAATAATAGCAA